ATATACTGATGGGTTTCTCTTTTCTTTACAGGGGAGGCCTATGTGGCAACACTCTTCCACCATATCTCTTGCCTCGAGGAAAAGGTTCAGTTCCTCACTAGTGATGGGGAAGACAAACAACTCCAGATTGAATTTCTTGAACAAGAGATTGGGAGGGGACTTGGCAATGAGGAATGGTTGGATGGGCTCTTTGAGGGGGTGGATTTCGGAGAGAAATGCAAGCTGCCAGAGATTCTGGAGATGGTACAGAAGGGTTGTAACGGTGTACTCTACCGGGGGTTAAACACCCTGCATATGCCCCGGTTGAGATACCTGGTAGGGTTTCCCACAGGTGGGATGATGAGGATTTGTGTGCACTGCTCAGCACACACACACAAGATTGGGACCTCTTTCCAGCAGCACCCGGCCATGGAAGTTTGTGCATGAGATTTTTGATGCTCACATCATGGACCATTTCATATTTTGGTTATTTTGTGTTGTTATTCTAGGCGCGGGGGGGCTCTTTCAAGTAAAGTATGTCAATCTTACTTTTCTCAGAGGTCAAGTAAAGTATGTCAATCTTACTTTTCTCAGAGGGACAACTTTCCTGATTCTCCACTCACCTGGTCGTCCTTTGCCCCGGCCAGCTGAATGGATCATGGCCGTCACGTATATGAACTCTGTTTCTTGCTGAGAGGACTGTACATACATAATGAATGGCGCAGTCGGTTGGCAGTAAATTTGGCGGGAGGAAAAGCGGCTGCGGCTGCGTGTTGCAGATGGATATAAAGACTGAGATGGAGGAGGTGGAGCGGGAAACACGCATCAACACATCGAGCAACTCGTGGACGAGCGCAACGAACGATGGAAACGAGTGGAGCGGCAGCAGCAGCAACAGCAGGGCCGGTATTTCTGGTGCCGTTTGCACGCTCGGTGGTGGACTTGTTGAGGGTGTGGCCGGCGCTGCAACTGTCGCTGGAGCAGTCGGCGAGCCACCAGACGCAGACGGCGCAGGAGCAGGCACGAGCAGAGCTGGCGACGGAGCTGGTGGGTGCCTTCCTGGATGCCCAACCCTTGTCCTCTTCGTCGCCCGGCACTGACGCCCTCGATGAGCGGAGGACCATGGACCATGTTGCACCGCTGGCCACGCCCGAGGCCGAGGAGATCGAGGACTTCCTGCTCGCCTGGATCTTCGGCTCCTTGGACGTCCGTATCGAGGACGACTCCGAAATTGACATCGCCCGCGACCTCCTCCTCCTCTGGCACGAATGGTCCGCCATGTCCCACCCCTCTGACCAACCCTCCGTCTATGCACGTGGCCAGGTCATCCAACGCATCGACCGTCTCGCCGCCAATCGTCGCTCTAATCGCTCTCTCATCTCCGCACAATTCCTCGACGAAGGCCTCGTCAGCGACGACGATGCCCCCTCTCTCTCTGACAACGATCACGCTATGAACATCGATCAACAAGAACCCTCCCCTCAACCTCATCCTAGTCCCACCGTCGATCAAGAAGGTTTTACCCTCGTGACCAAGTCCACCCGGCGACATTAGCCACTCCAATGTCCATTAACTTGATCCTGCTCCTCAATTCTATCAGCTCAATCAACTCTCTCACCGTCCAACTCGCAGAATTCCAATCTAGATTCCCCCCCCCCAGAAAGTCTGATGATGGATGCCACTGCCAGAGAGATTGTAATAATGCTATCGAAACTGGCAAAACAAAAACCTCTTTTTTTTCTTACCTTGGGTGTTTGACAACCTCTCGAGATGGGTGCTCTCGCAAGACTTGAAAAGCACATCTCAAGATAAATGAGAAGGAAGTGAAATGGATATAAGGGGGGAGGTTTTCCTACAAGAGACCCCTCAAAATAGTCCCACCTCCGCGCCATGGAATCCTCCGTGTGAAATCCTTGTCTATTCATCAACAGCTTGATCAGCTGCAAACAAGCAGAACAAGTCCTTTCCTGCACTCACTAGCCGAGTAATTTTGAATGAGATTTGACTCGCGGGCTTACACGTAGTAGGCCGGGCTAAGAGTACCAAAAGTTTCTGGGAAGGTCCAGGCAACTGGTGAAATGGGCATGTGTTTCAAAATAATCACTTTGTTCTAAAATAAGATTGTGCATTATCATTGAGCCTTGTAAGGTAGTGGGAGGTGTTGGGTGGTAAGGGCTCTCCGGCCACTTAAGCAAACAAAAAAATCATGAACAAGATGAACATCGACCTCACAAAAAAAAAGCTCAGCCGATTTGACTTGCATTGATTTCTTTTAACATCTCTCAGATGGTAATAGTGCAAGAAGGATGATGGCAAAATAAAGGGATAATGCCAAGGGAAGAGAGAGAGATAAAGCTGATATAGCGAGGGGAGGGGTAGACAAAGCATCAAAAGTTCTAATGGGAGCTCAAGCTTCAAAGTTTTTCCAGGCGTGTTTTTCGACCTCCTTAAACATTCTACCTTTTTGGAAGCGTTGGCCCTTGACTAAGCCAATCCTGGGTCTAGCGTCTAGTCTGCCTCTGCGGGTGTTAGATTGGGCCCAGTCTCTCCAGAGGTTGCCTTCGAGCTTGAGGCCCCTGAGACCGGCCTCGCTGAGGTCTTCCGTAAGCTGGTACTCGTGTCTATCCTCGACTGATTGCAGGCCCTTCGGCTTCCCTCCCCGCACCGCCCGCAACCCGTATTCTGCCACCAGCGCCGCACGTCGTGCTTTTGCTACCAACCTTGCCTGTCGTGCTTCTCGCTCCGCCGCGCTTAGGCCTCGGACTAGCTTCGGTAGCTCGTGTAACGTATGCGCTACCCGTCTGGCTTCCTTCCGTAGAGCATGCATGCGCATCTGTGATGATTCGATAATGTCAAAACAGAGTAGAAAGAATGCTCAACAACGGCTGGCGCACGCAAAATCAATGGTCAGAGAGGATGAGTTTACCTGTTCTCTTTCCTTCTCCTGACGACGACGCTGAGCCTTGGTTTTCTTCTTTGAAGCCTTTCTCTGAGCGAGTGATTTGGGAGATGAGGTTTGGGTCTGTTCATCATCACTTTCACCATCGCCGACGGCTTCCTCGCAGATTTCCCAGGGAGATTTAGCTTGAGTGATTTTCAATCCTGCCGTGACACGCTCCTTGATCTCGGCAGCTTGATCAGCTTCCCGTTGTTCCTCCTCTAGTTTCTCTAGCGTCTGACGAAGGATGGCTTGATGGTCATTCAATGCGGGATTATAGCTCTGACCCGGGTGTGGAAGAGGGATGGCCATTAGACCGGGGGCGGGAAGGGAGTTGATGACTTGGCTCAATACTTGGTTGGGCATGAGGCTAGATGGTGGCTTGATCGACACGACAGTATTGGCAGTATTAGCAGGGGAGACAGTGGCCGCCGAAACACCTTGGGTCCATATATCAGTGGCGGGTGGCTGAGGAGGTTTGAGGGCGACAGCGGTGCCGTTGCGTTTGACAGGATCGATTCCGGTATCATGCCTCTTTCGGACGACAATCTGTTCGAGCCGCTTCTTCTCGTTGGCGGTCAACAGCTTGGCCTTGGCCACATCCTGAGTCGCACCGCGTACCCTTCCAGAAACAGGCGGCGGACCCTGGCTGGCAGATTCGGTGAGTATCTGATCGACTCGGAGGGTGCGTTGGACTCCCTTTCGAGCCCTGGATGCGAATGCGCCATGGATTACGGAGTGTCTGATGGAGGCTGATCCGGTGGTGTCAACCTCGAAGATGGAAGTGGTAGCGAGACTGGGATCGGTGCGTGAGTACTTTGACTTGGACTTGTTTGACGGCATGACTGACTGGAAAAAGGAGAGAAGGTGGTTTGCGAAAAAGATGAAAGTGCGTTTGTTTTTGGGGAGTGAAACCTAACCCACCGCCAGAAGGCACGTATCATTCTATCTACCCCTTTGGTCCAACCAGTCATTACAGCGAGATGGCGCAGCTGGTAGCGCGCTGGGCTCATACTGAGTGTAACCCAGAGGTCGTCGGATCGAAACTGACTCTCGCTAGGACTCGGAGCTCCACGTTAACATCCATGTTCATGAGCAGCAGGCTGGCTCTCACTTTTGTGTCCGTGCTGAGGGGGCCGCGATGGTTGGAGGCACATCAACCACAATCCCTTGAAGCCCTGATGAACTGCTTTTGAGTTCTTACAAGGCACATTGATACTGCTCAACAGCATATCACCCAAATGGCTTGAATTGCAATGCAGGGCATGTCATTTGCAGCCAGAATCTGCTGTTACTTCAAGAAAGTGAAATAATTGATTGAAATCAGGCATCCTGATTTGGCTGATTGTGGGCCAATGATCCATGGAGATGTTCCTATCACCAATGATCCAAAATCTGAATTACATTTGTCTAACTGCCAAACCTTATTTGGTGGTGAAAATCAGTGACAATCAGGTTCCCACCACCAAATAAGATTTAGGTTTTAGGTGTGGCAATGCTAAATCTAGGAATCAGAGGCAATGCAAAGACCTCCAATACCCATGCAACATTCATTGGTTTATGCGGGTACATCTTGAGTTTAAATTACAATTTGAGGGGGATTGAAAGCAATCATATTGGGTAGGTTGTAACTTTGCATTCAAATCTTCTCATAAATCATTCTCAGGTTTTTCTTTGTTATCCCCAATTGGTGATGACCATTCCCAAACTCAACCTCCATGCTGCAACTGTGATTTGGTTGGGTGAAGACAGGCACATGTAAATTTTATACAATAGAGAGAGGCAGACTTGATTGAAGATAAATTACAAGCTTGTAACATTCTCAAATCAAGTGAACAAGAAGATTGTTAGTGATTTTTCTCTTGATTCAGCAGCTTCAAGTGTGTCTACACCAATGACAAGTTCATTGAGAAAGCCCATTCACAACTTGTTATGGGCAAGGTTAAGAATGTAGATTGCTAGCTGGGGAATGTACAAAGGTGCTGAGGCTGAAGATAATCCCCCAGTTGGGGAAACCGCTGGAAAGTCCCAGAGGGGGTTACAAGGTCATAACATTATCCCCCTTTTATGCCCAAGTCCCCCGTGGACTCTGCATCTTTTCCGGGAAGCATTAAAAACCCTGGCTGTTGGGAAAAAAGCGTGCCCTCTCACTAATACCATTTCTGTTGATGTCGGATGCTTGCTGGCTGTGTTGGGGAATTGAGTGTTTAATTGACTGATCAATGCCTTGCAGTTCTTCAGGTTTTTGACTGGTTCCCAGGAGTTTTCTTGTGGACCAAATCCTTTCCAGCTTACTAAATATTGCCGCTGTTTTCCGCGCATTCAACAGTCCAGAATCTCCTCAACCTCCCATTCAATTTTGTCCTCAATGATG